TAAGTTATTAGCTTTTCGATTTGGGTATGCAAAATAGGCGATGATTACCCAAAATGAGGTGGATGTTAAGAGGTTATAATAATGTACCTTAATGAACAGAGTCTGAATTTAACAGAAACATTTATTACAGGTTAGTAATCATTGTGACTGATAACATGTAACAAAGACTCAGATTGATGCTTAGAAATGGAGCGGTTCTTACTTTTATTGATAACAACAACCAGCATAAAGACACATGACTGCCAACAAAACAACTGCTGCTCAGCAGCACCCCCTGTCTGAAATCTGAAGCAGATAGAAAGACAAAAGGTAATAAAAATTATCCCAGCCAGCAGGATCCTCATTCAGAGGAATCTGTTCTCCTTCCTACAATTTAAACTATGAAAACTATGAAATGAAACCAAAAGTTTACAAACAGGGTTTGGTCCAGAGAGAAACTAAAGCTCTGAACTTTGGCAAAATTTCTCATTTCAGAAAGTTTAAATGTTTTATTGTCAAGAAGTGTTTATTTATAGACCATATCAGTAGCAAGACGATTCAAAGAGCTGCATAGAAACAAAGAAAAGGTACATTGCTATAAATGTAAGTAAACCGAGGGTTTAAAGTCCTTTCCAGTGTTTCAGGAGTTTATTACAGATTAGTGGAGCATAAGAACCAAAAAAGCTGCTTCCCCATGTCTGGTTCTTGTTCTGGTTCCTCAGAGTATATCGGATCCAGTAGACCTGAGAGATCTGGCTGTTGATTCACTGACAACAAGTCTGTGATGTCTTTTGGAACTTTTCTGTCATGATCTCAGCCCCAGTAGCTTCTCTGATTACTCACCTCATTCACCTGCAATTCCCTCCCTGGTTTTTAATTATCATTTATCTTATTCACCAGTAGGTAAATGAAGTGAGTAATCAGAGAAGGTACTGTGGCTGANTTATTAAGTGCATTTTGTTGTACTGCATTAGAATTTGTACAGAAAAAAGAGAAGTTTGGTATGACTTGTAAACAACAAATACACAGTATTACATATACTGTACACCAACACACGTCTGGTAATTAAAACATTTTTATTAATAAAAGAAAACCTTGTTTTCCCTTCACTTTTTTTTGGCTTATCGCATAAAATCCCTGTGAAACAAACTGAGGTTTGTCGTTTTATTGTGACAAAATGTGTACTAATCTGACTCTTCATCTTGCAATAAACATCCCACCATAAACCTTGGGCAAAGTTCTCCACAGACTGGGATGCATTTTAATTTAACTGCAATGTCTTTAGTCCCCCCCCCCTCCCTGTTTATATTTCAGCTATTTCATCTGAAACTGTTGTGAAAGCAACAGTTAATAATCACCACACAAATCAGCAATAAAAATCTTAGAAACCTACACACAAAAAGTGCAATTTCAACATTTGAACCAGGTGTCCAGACAAATGGATTTTGAAGAATGTAATTTCGACAATGAACCAAAATCATTCTAACCATTCTCAATGAACATAAAAATCCCTACTAAATATTTAAACATATTATTTTTGGCCAAATAACATACCTTGTTTGGAAAAAAAATAAAACATTAATGCCAATGCAACCTTGCACTGTCATTTACTGGAACCCACTTGGCATTTGATCCCACATTTGCCTCCTCTAAGATGAA